CATCAAATTGTTTTGGTCCTACTCACATACTTCTGACAGTAAATATTAGCACAGAGGAGATTTTTTTTTCCTGGATATGAATGTGGAAGAAAGTAAAAAGATCTGCAAGTATGGAATCAGTAAAGGCAGAAAAGGAAAAATAATGCAAAATTAGTTAAGTAGTTGCAAAATCTATTAAAAGACATGAGGAAAAACTGAATGGGGATCATGGATAAAAATTTAATTCCTACCCATCTAGTAAAATGAAAAGAAGAGACATTACGAGTAATTGCTGAGCACTTACGACTGACCTGGCGAAGAGCATGTGTGTGAGTGAATAATCGCTGGAGTTACACTGTGTAGACGATGGAGATTGCTGCTGCTATCTCTTTATTCAGTGTCGCATCATTTGACTGCCTTTACATTTTTGTTGGCTTTACTACATTTTAGTTCAACAGACAAGTGGGGTCTTACTTGGTTCCAAAGGGCAGAATCTATTTTGATGGATCGTGTTAGTGAGAAGAGTTTCTCGTGTGTATTCGCTCTGCTCTGAAGATACGCATTGATAACCACCAGCTGGTCATTCATCCCCCACGAACATCCTCATCGCAGCTGCCCATGCTGCAATCTGGACATTCATTATTCAAAGTTGGAAGTGCTGGGAAGAAGAGTTGTTTCTCACTCCTCCCCCAAGGAAGGCAAAGGCTGCCTGATGGCAGCGGTGGCAAATCTGTGGCATTCGGGTCAGAATTGGCATGTGCTGCTCTTGCAACTGGTACATGAGTGAGCTGTGGCCACTCTCCCTGCAAGCTGAGCAGGATTGCAACAGCAGCAGCGGAAGGGAGGAGATTTGCAAGGGCAGGGCGGATGGCACCAGGGGCTTTAAGAAGTGGTCCCAAGGAAAAAAAAAAAACCACTGTGATGGGAGATGCTGGCATCTGGCATCTGTTCTGCTGTTACTCAACCAAGAAAGTATGTGTACCCTTACAACAGCCTGTCACGACATGCCATCTTCTGAAGCCAGGGAGCTGAAACCTGTTCCCAGCCTTGATTATAGAGGACCCCGAGGTATCATAGTCTGTTAGGTTTTATGTGATCAGCTAGAAGTTCTATGTATAAAAATTCATCTGCTGGAAAAAAAATATTTAGGAGATCTTTTAATGTACTGAAATACCTACTTAATTCAGAATTCTCTGCGTACAAAATCCATACCTATAAAAGCGTATTTTGAGACTGAGTTATGAGTTGACTAAATACAGAATTAATTAAAAAAAACAAAAACAAAACAAAAAAACCAAACCAACACCTTTGACTAGTACAAGTAGTATTGTAATAGTCTCTGAGTTTCGTTCCTTCTAGCAGTATTCTCTCCAGCACTTTTTCACCTCCAGTTAAATATTTTGTTTTCACATGAAACTTGAGTGCTTTTCTGCCATGGTGTGTTGAAGACTGTTAAACAGTTTTAATAACCAAGTTTCAGGAATTCAGTTTAATTGACCCCTGTCTTTATTACTTTCAGGAGTGAAACCTTGAGCGCACATAAGTCATTTTGCCGTGAAAGATTACCACTGACTTCTGTGAGGCCAAGATTTCACTTATGTATTCCTACCTTGAAAAGTAAAAATCAAAAAAACATTATTTAGCTTAAGAGTTTATATGTCCAGACTTTATGGACACTTCATCTTATCTTTACCAAATGGTATGTCTCTACGTAGCTATTTCTGATATAGCAGTCCCTATTTGGCATTTTTTGACATTGTCTTTCTGTGTGATTGTTCTGAATTGCAAAAGACAGAGAATCAAGGAAGCAAGGAAAGGTATTTGCCAGTAACATTTATGGCTTTGAAATACTCGCTAGCTACCGCTGCTCATTGCCTTCCATCCAGCTATGGCCGTAGTTATACTACAAATTGTCTCTGGGGAGGGTTGTTTTTTGTTTTTATACTTCAGGTGCCTCAAACAAGCCCAGTGTTGTACTCATCAGGCTTATCAATTTTTAGCCATTTTATTAGATACAATATGTATTGATTAAAAAAAACTACAATTTTTAATCTTTTCAGTATCTTTGAGAAGAAATGACTTGGAGCGCTTGACATTTTAATGCAGTTTGTCTTTTCAAATAGATTTGGCTTCTAATGCATGTGACAACAGGACTTTGCTCTTCAGTTAGAGCATACATTTCAGAGGAGTTGTTACCTAAAATATTATCATAAGGCATAAGAAAACACACGATTTAAGTTGCCTTTCATGAACATAATTAAGAATTAATAAGCCTGTACCAGTGGCTAGTCCTCAGAATTTCCACTGTTTTGCCTTTTGTGACCCGTGTTATTAAAAGTCCATTATTTTTACAGACTTTATTAAATTGGATCTTATTAAAGCATTCTATATTTGCATTTGGTCTTTCATAATTCATTATTATTATGACATTTACTTTTTACCATCAGATCTGAAAACATATCATAAGCTACCCTTTTCTCTTGAAAGAAATGCTAATTTCAAACAGTCCTCTAATGGAAGAGAAAAGCTTTATCAGTTTTTTCATTTATTCAAGATCGTGTTAAGAATACTAATGCTAGACTTCTGTATGCTAATATCTGAGAGCTTTTTTGGTCAAAAGCTTAGAATTATTGTTTTTAGACCACACTGTGAAGTATGTCACTGGCAGGGCACTAGTACAAAAGAAAATGCAATTCTGAAGTACCGCGCTTTAATTCTATGACTGATAAAAACAATTTCTTGATCTTTCATTATTAAATTACGCTTTCGTATGAAATTATACTATTTTTATACTTCGTCACGTTTACCAGATTACGGCTCTACTTAGTTTCTCTTTAGAAGTTTCTAACAATTGATTTAGCATGATTATTTAGTGGGAGTTAGTTTTGAATTATAGCCTGGAGACTAGTGTAACAAGAAATGGAATTGTTAGGTTTTATGTAACAACCAAAAGGTTCTATGTATAAAATTCCACCGGCGGGAAAAAAATATTTAGGAGATCTTTTAATGTACTGAAATACCTACTTAATTCAGAATTCTCTGCGTACAAAATCCATACCTATAAAAGCGTATTTTGAGACTGAGTTATGAGTTGACTAAATACAGAATTAATTAAAAAAAACAAAAACAAAACAAAAAAACCAAACCAACACCTTTGACTAGTACAAGTAGTATTGTAATAGTCTCTGAGTTTCGTTCCTTCTAGCAGTATTCTCTCCAGCACTTTTTCACCTCCAGTTAAATATTTTGTTTTCACATGAAACTTGAGTGCTTTTCTGCCATGGTGTGTTGAAGACTGTTAAACAGTTTTAATAACCAAGTTTCAGGAATTCAGTTTAATTGACCCCTGTCTTTATTACTTTCAGGAGTGAAACCTTGAGCGCACATAAGTCATTTTGCCGTGAAAGATTACCACTGACTTCTGTGAGGCCAAGATTTCACTTATGTATTCCTACCTTGAAAAGTAAAAATCAAAAAAACATTATTTAGCTTAAGAGTTTATATGTCCAGACTTTATGGACACTTCATCTTATCTTTACCAAATGGTATGTCTCTACGTAGCTATTTCTGATATAGCAGTCCCTATTTGGCATTTTTTGACATTGTCTTTCTGTGTGATTGTTCTGAATTGCAAAAGACAGAGAATCAAGGAAGCAAGGAAAGGTATTTGCCAGTAACATTTATGGCTTTGAAATACTCGCTAGCTACCCCTGCTCATTGCCTTCCATCCAGCTATGGCCGTAGTTATACTACAAATTGTCTCTGGGGAGGGTTGTTTTTTGTTTTTATACTTCAGGTGCCTCAAACAAGCCCAGTGTTGTACTCATCAGGCTTATCAATTTTTAGCCATTTTATTAGATACAATATGTATTGATTAAAAAAAACTACAATTTTGAATCTTTTCAGTATCTTTGAGAAGAAATGACTTGGAGCGCTTGACATTTTAATGCAGTTTGTCTTTTCAAATAGATTTGGCTTCTAATGCATGTGACAACAGGACTTTGCTCTTCAGTTAGAGCATACATTTCAGAGGAGTTGTTACCTAAAATATTATCATAAGGCATAAGAAAACACACGATTTAAGTTGCCTTTCATGAACATAATTAAGAATTAATAAGCCTGTACCAGTGGCTAGTCCTCAGAATTTCCACTGTTTTGCCTTTTGTGACCCGTGTTATTAAAAGTCCATTATTTTTACAGACTTTATTAAATTGGATCTTATTAAAGCATTCTATATTTGCATTTGGTCTTTCATAATTCATTATTATTATGACATTTACTTTTTACCATCAGATCTGAAAACATATCATAAGCTACCCTTTTCTCTTGAAAGAAATGCTAATTTCAAACAGTCCTCTAATGGAAGAGAAAAGCTTTATCAGTTTTTTCATTTATTCAAGATCGTGTTAAGAATACTAATGCTAGACTTCTGTATGCTAATATCTGAGAGCTTTTTTGGTCAAAAGCTTAGAATTATTGTTTTTAGACCACACTGTGAAGTATGTCACTGGCAGGGCACTAGTACAAAAGAAAATGCAATTCTGAAGTACCGCGCTTTAATTCTATGACTGATAAAAACAATTTCTTGATCTTTCATTATTAAATTACGCTTTCGTATGAAATTATACTATTTTTATACTTCGTCACGTTTACCAGATTACGGCTCTACTTAGTTTCTCTTTAGAAGTTTCTAACAATTGATTTAGCATGATTATTTAGTGGGAGTTAGTTTTGAATTATAGCCTGGAGAATAGTGTAACAAGAAATGGAATTCTCCATCAAATAAATCGCTGTCTCAATCAGTTATTGTTTTGATTTAGACAAGCTGAGATCTATCATATTTGTAAATATTCTCATAATTTCATCATAAAAAGGGAGAAAGAGCTCTAGAATTGAATGCAGAAGCCTGGATGTAAAACGGTAGATAACACTCAGTTAAACTGCTGAATTTAGCATAATTTTTTTTTTTTAACTAACTTCAAAAACACCTCTACAATGTTAACTTTTTTTTCCCCACATAGGTTTCTGACGATGTGCACTAGACACTTCGGGAGTGTTGTTGCCCAAACAATTCGAACTCAGAAGACAGACCAGTTTCCACTTTTCCTTATTATTATGGGAAAACGATCATCTAATGAAGTATTGAATGTAATACAAGGTACAGTTCTCACTTTATATTAAAAGTAATTCTTATGTGAGTATTGAAACTGTTAGAAGACATCTTTGCTAACGGTTTCTGAGATGTTCAGAATATGAATTTATTTCACACAAGAAACTTTCAGTTGCCATGGTGTAAATAACTACTATTCATAAATGTGTTAATTGACATAGTATTAGAGATTGAAGTTGCCATGACTGTAGTAAAATCATAGGTTAAGTTTTTCAGGTTTTTTTTTAAAGTAGAAGCCAAATCTCCTAAATAAGGAGCTACACTTAGTTTACCAAATTTATATCCATTCCAATTACTGATTTCCAAAAGATTTTGGCTCTGCTTTTTGTGTAGTGCCAGAACGCGTTTAGTTCTCTGTGTGTAGTTCCTTGTTAACATGTGGACTCCTGTTGCATGTAGTGGGCTAATATTTGAACGTGAGTTGCTTTTTCAGACCTGCCTGCAGTGTTGAGACCTCAAATCAGATAAGAATTTTAAGTTGCTAATATAATCTCACATAAATGAAGCTTTCTGGCTTACATGAGCAGTTCTTTCTGGCATAACCATTCCTCTGATTTCACTGACAGCAAGATGACTTAGATCTGGAGTGATGCCCTTTGACTGCTGTTCTCAGTAACTCTTCAAATTAAAATACATCAAAGCATGGCTGCCTCTCATTTCTTCTGCTTTCTCCACAAGTTTGCCTTCATGACACTGTGTCCTCATTTATTTATTGCTTATATCTTGCAATCTTTATTCTAATCTCCTTATTTTCCTGAGGAAGTTCAGCCTTAGGAAATACTGCCTTTTGCAGACAGCATTACTGTTTGTTTCTGCATATGGGATTAATCATTTTCTTGAGGAATCTGCATTGCTCCTTCCTATGGCCAAAATTGTGAATTTTGCACGGATTTTGTCTTCTTAGTGCAAGGTACAGCATAACACTAATTCATGGCACTTCTGTCACTTAGAAAACTTACTTCATACAAATAACCTTATAAACAGATTTTCTTGTTTTTATAACTCTGCAGCATAGTTCAGTATGTGTATAACTTTAAGCACCTGTGTTATCCCACTGAAATCAGTGGTGCTTAGTGGCTTAAATTACTTAACTGTTTTAGCAACTTGGTGACTCAAAGTCATAATATAATGCAGCTTTGTATTATAAAATAATCCAAATTATTTCATTGCTTTCATTAAGTTTTAATGATTTTTCAGGTTTTCTGCAAACAGTCTTGTGAACTATACTAAACTAAACTGGTGACCTATTGCAGCCTTACTTAAATTTATCTTTTAACAAAAATCAAGCGTGCTGTGCTTGTTATTTTCCCATGAATTGGGACATTGGTATCTTTTAACAATATGCCCTCAAATGAATGGTAGTCTCTGAACTCATGCGTGTTGTAGCATGCGGGATAACATTTTCTGCTAAGGTAGCAAATGCTAGAATGAGGAACAATGAGGGCTTTTCAGGGCTGGGTGAGAAGGCATGTTTACAGAAGAGATACAACGATATAGAAACTTAAGTCCCAGTGGCGTTTATTGAAATGCAGACTCTCTAAGTTTGCTTTCAATTTTTATTTTTTCCTGGGGTTAGAAACTATGGGGACAGTTTTGTTTTCTTTAGTGGTACTGTGGCTTCTGGTTAGTTTACTCCTTTACTCCTTTGATGAGCATCACCAACATAAATCTAGCTCTTGTTGGTATTGTCCTGCAAATGTCCAAAGACTGTTTAGGTTGGCAGGTGTTAAAGAGTTCATAGTTTTAGACCATTTCTCGTGGTCTAAGACCTTTTAACTACTGTGACAAGTGGCTATAATGGGTAGGCTAGTCTTCGGTTTAAGAAGACAAAGCAAAGACTGAGTGCATCTTGGTAAATTAAATTAAACTAATCTTGCAGTCTTACTGAAGACTGGAGGCACACTGGTAGAAAAATGTGAGGAGGTATCTATTTTCCTATGCATGTGCTGTATGTCTTGATATATATACACAGATGACTGACTTTTTCGCTATTACTAGCTTTACAAGTTTTATCAGAAGTAAATACACTGAAGACAATATATTATAATATTTGAAGTTTTACTACTAGTTATACCTGAATAAAAATGCGTGCGCACACGTCCATTCGATCGCTGTATTCTGTTTTTTTTAAACCAGTCCACTTGGATGCTGCTGCCAATATCCTACCTTTTGTTACCTGACTAAGCAATTGCTTCAGTCTCCCTGATTATACCTGGGAATTCTAAAACTGTAAAATCAATTTCATGTCAGGGAGCCCCAGATATAGGAAAGGTTATAAACCTTTCCTCTAACGTCAGTGATTGAAAGAAAAAATAGAGTTATGCCATGCAAGCACAAAAGCAATTGTTCAGATTTGAACCACATAAAATGTTAGCCTATGATCAACATTTGTTTGTAAAAAGAATTTCAAATTTTCAATAAAAAGGCAAACTAAAAGCATTCTGTTGAGATACTTGCATTTTCTACTCTGTCTTTTTTTTTTAAAGTCTGGCTATTTCTTATGAATTAATTCTAAAATGACTTCTTTTTTGTTTAATAACTTTAATGATATGAAGTTCAGCTGTCTTCCTTTGTTGCTAGGTAACACAACAGTGGATGAGCTAATGATGAGGCTGATGGCTGCAATGGAGATCTTCAGTGCCCAGCAGCAGGAAGACATAAAGGATGAGGTGAGCATGGAAAGTTACTGCAGATACCTACTGGCTTCCACAGATCACTGGGGATGCAAAATTAACCAGGTGTTTCTTTAGCCAATGAAGTTGGGTATGATGTGTTTTAGTGTCTCTTCCATCATCAGAGATTAAAAATTTTAAGTCTCATTTGTGTATTTATTTGGGTCTCTCAAAAAAACTCCTCCATATTGGCTTACTGCCATTTTCAGTTTGTTTCCTTTTTCTGAATATTAGTCATGAGTAACCGTTTACATTTACAGTGGTATTATAGAGCTTACTGTGCTCATACAAGGAAAAGACAGTCAGGTTTTTTCCCAATGACCAGCTTCAAGTCATAGGTATAAAACAAAAATAGATTAGCTTGATACCTTACATATATATGTTTAAAAGGGGATTGAAAAGCAACCTTAACCAGAACTACGCTAGTACTGAATCACCATTCAGAACAACGCAGAATGGGTAAGTGATGGCAAGACTTTTCAAAAACAGTGTTTCAATTACATAGAGGTAGACACAGTGAGGTATACAGCTGAGAGATGTTTATCTGTTACTCTATAAATTGAGAGTGACATTTTGAAGTAATGAAGTACTTAGTTAGGAATTTATAATAATAGGTGTGTTGCCATTCAAGATTATTCTTATCCTGTTGTATAGACATTGATTGACAATGATTCACTAAACACATTCTTTACATTTAAATCTTGTATCTCATTAGTATGAGATTTACCGATTACAGTTATAATAATATGAAGGCACGGTATCCGCACAATATCTGTAGTTCATTTTTTCTTCTTTATTTATGCTACCTGTAATTCATTGGTAAAGAAATTAACTTTAATTTTGTTAATACTGAACACAAATTTTAATATGAGGATTACAACAAAAATCCAAGGCACGATATAATTGAATTTTTCATTGCATTTTAACAGGAATATGTCGGGTATGGGTTTTTTTAATGCTTTAATAAGAAGGTAAAATTCACATTACAAATGAGTTCCAAGAAAGGTTCAGAACTGGAAACTATAAAAGCTGATAGAAATGAAGAAAACAGAAGGAAAGAAAATGATATAAGGGCAGAGAGAAAAGAGCAAATAAGGGATAGGAGAAGGAACTAGAAGTAGGAGTTGATAGGAGTGGAATAGAGGGAGGAACGGGAGACCAGAACACTTGTCCAGAGCTGCGGATATCCATATTTAGGGAAGAAGGTGGGGGCAGGTCAGATAGTGATAAGCCTCCCCTAGGAGGATAAAACCAGGGGGATTTGCAGTTGAGAAAAATCTGAGTGTAAGGGAGACAGAGCTTAAAGAAAGAGAAGACTCGGTAGCCTTGAGGCCATGATTGCAGAACTGGGAACTGGCTTCTGTCCCCTGAGCTGCTGGGGGTGCTTCCCTGGATGGCCAAGAACAGTGACAGTCCAGTGATGTATGTCCCCCCAGTGGTGATACGGATGTCTCCTGACTTCTTACTCTAGGTGCTCTACTTACTCTAAGTGTGTAGGGAGAATGGAAAATGAATTTTTATACATTCCTCTAAAATCTACCGTTGTCCAAGTCTTCTGTAGTCTTTTCTCACATTTCCTGTTGTTTTTCTGTCACTGAGAGCACCAGTGACATTTCTTCCCCAACGGGAGTTTTTTCTAACACACTTTGACATTCAGAAAACTAATGGAAAATTTCATAAACTTTGGGGGCAGGTTTCCAGATGCTATGGGTTCTATACACAAATAGGATATTTACTTATACCTTGGCTCCACTTGTTACAAGCACACTGAAAAGGTGATCTCCGACACCTTCGCCTTTGAAGCAGGAAGTTTAAAAACAAAAAAATAACCTCGCTTTATGAAATTACTATTCCAGAGAGGGAGTATTTGACAAGCCGTCTGTACTCAATAGAGGGCTTTAGCCTGAAAAAAAACTATTGTCTTTTTGTGGTTTGCTACATAACATGTAGCTTTCTTGTAAGTCTTGTACTTGACAACTTCAAGTGTTCAAACATCAACACCTTTTCTTTTTTAAGATCTTATTGCAGTTGGTGCAACTTTTTCCCAAATATTACAATAGCAAACAGGATAGAGAGTCCAGTTTCTGTTACTGTTTTCTTAATAGCAACAATAAGTCATCATAAAATCACAAGAAGATACGCAGAAAACTCTTTTGTGTTTTAAAAAGAGAAGTCATCTCTATAGCTTTGCTGTAAACAGAAGTGTGTGTGAGAGAGAAACAGAACTGGAAACACTTGCAAATAACAGCATGAAATCATTAATGAGTCAGTTTATGCAGCTGAACTTCTCCACTTTGGATTTTTAACTTGCATGCACATGAAAGCTTCCAACACAGCTATTGCATAATTCTGTTTAGCACAGCATGTTTTGCAGTGCCCTCTGATGGTTATTTCGGTACAGGATGACTGTTACCACTGCCAGCCAATGGTACAGGTGTTCGCCGTGACGCTGGCTGTAGCTGTTCAGGAATCGCTTTACAGTCAGTTCCCTGTCACTGATCATCGACTCATGGTGTAGGCAGGACGCTCAGAACTGTGTCACCGACTTACCTCACCTGAGCAAGCGAGTCACTTCATTAGCTGGTGGTAATAGTATGGTTGGCTAAATCCTGTGCTTTTGTATCCAGGTATTAGTAAAATTTACCGGTGTAGTCTCAGAGAATTTTAATCAGGCAACTTTGGGGCATATTTCTATAATGTCAAGTGCTAAAATACTGTCATTTAACCAGCAATTGGATTTAATTTTTAGATTTGAATATTGTGTTTGATTAAGCTTTTTCTGACATAATCTTCAAAGAAATACCTTAAAAACATTGAGATGCATACGCATGCTCATAGTAGTCCAACGTACCTGTCTTGAGGTACGGTGGTGCGTAATTTAGGCACCCATTTCCCCTCCCAAGCTTTCTTAAAGGGAGATCAATCTGCTGTCCCATTCTTTTCCCTGCCCCTGCAAGGCTTCTGGGTTCATCATGAACCATTGGGCCTGTTGCTTGCTGCCTGTCAGCTGTGTTGACCAGATGACATTTTGGAAACCTGCTGCCTCTTTTGGACCACACTGTTGACATGCCATTGTAGATATGTGGTCTAGCTGTCATGCTGTCTGTTTTTATAAATTTGCTACTTAAATTGCCATAGTAACAACCCACAAATAATAAAACGATCAGCAGCGTACTGACGTTGTGCTCATGTGGCACTTCTGATAAGAAGTGGCCAATGGATAATTAAATGGTGGGTTCGGTGGCATCAACAGCAGCAAGGCCAGTTGGCCAGGATACAGTCCCACCCTCGTCAGTGCAGTCAGGTGTAGGGTCTGAAGTCCAACCTCAGGCTGTGGATGCAGAATTACTCCGAGGCTACACTAATGATTTCGTACGTCTGATGGACATAGTTTCCTTTGCTAACCATGTTTGCTCCTCTGTCCCACACTACAAATGTTGATACCTCAACTACTGTTCAGGCTGTGGGGTTGGGGATTTTTGCAAAGAGGAAATAAACACCACTAAGGAGTTTCTCCTGTGAGTGAAAGAGGGTATCTCACAGCAGGGACAACCGGCCTCTGCCACTGTTGATCAAGGTGTGAACTGAGATTTTTCGGGGACTGACTTTGAAAAGAGCACGTAGTATCAGTTCCTCTTAAATGTCAGTGCCTGGTGCTGGACTTAGAAAAACAAATAATAATTGTAAAATATTGTACGCCCTTGGAATGTCCATTTTTAAACACCCTGTTAGTTTGCTTACTTTAATTGTATAGTTAAATAATCATCTCAGCGTGGCATGATGGGCCCAAATAGATCCGAGTTAGTTCCTTTGTGAGATTAATGTGAAGAGATACATGATTAAATCCTGGCATTACAGCACAACACACCTGTTTGGGGCCGATCCTGAACATTTTTTCTCCATTGCCTGAGGAGGAGGCTTCTCAAAGGATTACAGTAACACTTTTTGACAAGCTTATACAGGGTGGAGTTTCCATGTAATGACAGAGCTCATTTGATGATGTCTCAGTAATGCATTCTTTTTATTTTTCCTGTCAACATTTATTACTGTAGAAGCGTTGACTGTTACACAGCTGGTCCAACTTGTCCACATTTAAGTAACAGTAGGTCTCTCATCGTGTTTATTTTTGTCGTTACGCAACACTAGCACTCCTGCTCTTGGATTAGACTTCAAGGTGGAATTGTAATACCCACAGTTGCTTCAAAAACCTTCTTATTTTTACAAATACCAATTAAACCCTTTGATTCGCTTTAAACTATGCCTGCTGACACACTGGTTTCTCTATGGTAAAAGAGAAATACTTCAGAATTTTTAAACTGGAAAAACTGTTGTAAACAGGCTCTGACTGAAGATAAGCTGTAGAAAAATGTAGACTTGCAGAGTCACCGTCTTTGCTCTCTGATCTTAGGTGACATCTCTTCTTCCTAGATACTGCTACAGCATGAGGAACATGTAGGTCCTTCCTGACCAATATCTGGACAGGGATTTAAAAAATATGTAAAAGAAAACAAAAACTCCAAAACAGCAACATAAATTCACCTTCTTTACCCTGCCACAGCTCTTTGTAAAATTATGCTTGCATGTCTGTCCCTCTCTTGCGTTAGATGGGGCTTTACTGTCCAAGTGATATTTTCATAACTTTGCAGTAAGGAGCCTGGTATCACCATGTCTTCCTCCTCTTCTGCCTTGCTGCTGTCAAATGTAAGGGATTTCCTTCTTTTTTTTGATATGATAATTTAACTTTTAGCTTCCAACACCTTTTCTCCTTCTTCTTCCAAAGATATATCTCACAGCCACAAAGGAAGCTAAAGATGATTGGTCCTAGTGCATTTTCTCCTCAACTGTGGTCTGTTCGTCTTTTCCTCCTTCAGATCGGTTGCTTTCTCCACTCCTTACCTGCAGTTGTGCTCTCCAGTTAGAGGATGGCCTACGTGCTTCCATCAGCTCTGCAACTGCTGTTTAGGCACAGAAGCTGACATTCAAATCAGTAGAAATTA